GTGGTGTACGCTAACATGATGATGATAATAATAATGATAACAATAAATACTATAATTTGTTTCTTACTCCTTTTCTATTAATGAAATTGATATCAACTCCATCCTGCTTCAGTAGTAGTTTAACTATTTCTGTATGTCCTTTCGCACAGGCAATACCAAGTGGTGCATCCTATGTAGTAATAATAATAATAATAATAATAATAATAATAATAATAATAATAATAATAATAGCAATAACAATAATAATAATAATAATCTCTTTCTTCCAGCAAAAACTTGATAAGTCTCTCAATAATACAATTAAAAATTTTGTCTCTTACGTTATCTTCATCACTGACATTGACAATAGCTCCATGTTTCAGTAGTAGTTCAACTATTTTTTTATGTCCTTCTATACAGGTCATACCAAGTGGTGTAAGCTAGCATGATAATAATAATTTATTAATAATAATATTGTGGTGTGTGTGTCTTATGATAATAATAAATAAACTAGAAAGAATGTAAAACATTGAGGGGCTCTGTCCTCCAGCCACACCTCCCAATCACGCCCCTAAACGCACATACGTACCTACATACATACAAACATACATACAGAAATTTTTCACCAGAGTAGGCTTCGCCCAATAAAAAATAATAATAATTTATTAATTACTGTGTCTCATACTTTTTGTTCATTAATGTGATTGACATTAGCTCCATGCTCCAGTAGTAGCTCAACTACTTCTGTATGTCCTTTTACACAAGCCATACCAAGCGGTGTACACTACATAATAATAACTCAAACTAATTATTGTTTCTAGCCAAAGTAGAGACACACAAGTCTCTTTTTCTGAGTGTCACTAACATGAGCGTAGAACTCTTATTACTCAAACTAATAAATATAATTAATAATTATTATGCCCCTTACATTGATTTTATCAGTGTGATCAACATTGGCTACACCACGATTCAGTAGTAGTTTAACTATCTCAGTATGTCCTGGTATACTGGCATTACCAAGTGGAGTAAGCTACATAATAATAATAATAATAATAATAATAATAATAATAATAATAATAATAATAATAAATATTCCTATAATTGTTTTCACCACCTTGCATGCATAGCTGGGATTAAGCAGCCTGTAGTGAGAGAAGAGCTATCATTACACCTCTGTGTATAGTGGATTGAAAGTCAATTAGAAAGTATTATAGTCATAACGAAGGCTATAGTTGAACAACTGTCTCTTATTAATGTTGGCTCAGAACTCGTCTCTTTTCATCCTCAGGACCACAATTCTTTGCTTGAATTGAAAGGTAGGAGGACTATCAACATGGCTGATTGCTCTATTCTATCTTTATCGATGTCCTGACTTAACCCCAACTTATCTTACATGATCTCTTTATCAATTTTATTGTTAATTGTATTATAAAAATTGATTACTAAATAATTCCTTACTTCATTTTCATCACTGACATTGACATCAGCTCTATGCTCCAGTAGTAGTTTAACTATTTCTGTATGTCCTTGTATACACGCCATACCAAGTGGTGTACGCTAACATGAATAAATAACATTAATATTAATAATTAATAACAAAATTATTATTGATATATCATAGA